GGTCGGCGGCCTACAGGGGCAGGTGCCGGAGGGCGACCGACTGCGCCTTGCCCCGCTTCGGAATGCCATCGCGCCCGACTCAGGCGCGCAGATCAGCGCAGCGCCGAGACAGCAAGCGACCCAGCGCAACTACACGCCGGTGGCCAGCAACGTCGTTGGCATGACGGGCATCGGAGGCGAGGAGATCGAGAGGTACGGCCATGTGGAGCTGAACCTGTCCAGGGGAGGAGAGGTTCTCCATGTTGGCGCGGACGTTGCCGACGTGGAGTACACCGTTGTGGCCACAGATGCGGTAGTGCAGCGAGGCCAGAGCTTTCTCCGTAGCCCTGCAGGTCGCTGGATCATCAACGGCGCCATCGAGCCACCTGAAGGAGCTGAGTTCGTTCCTCTACGATGTCATGATGCCGACTACGACTTAGAGTGCGATCACGTCATAGACGGCAAGACCGAACCAGACGCCACGCAGGTAGCAGCAGCGAGGAAGACGCTGCCGCGGAAGGTCCCGGCTGAGCAAGAAGTTGGATCTTTGCCGAGGGTTCTAGGCCTAGAGGCGTGCGAGACTACGGCTGCCGACGAGAGTGCTGAGGTCGCCCTGCCAACCTAGTGCCGCGGAGAGAGCCGCGCGCGAAGGGCATCGCCTACCTTTTCGCCCTCGGTGTGCACTGCGCGTGAAAGCTCGAGCGGGCGACGATCCGCGCTGCGTGCAGGGGCCAGCGGACGAGGTGCAAGTGCCGAAGGTGGTGTTCGACATCTTCTACGTTGGAACCCACTCTGCTGAACTTGATGTCGCCATCTCCACTGCTCGCGCAAACATCCCGCCCACCCACCCGCAATTTGGTTTGCAAAACCTCTTCAGACCGACTACGACGACACCGACGACAACGACTGCGACGACACCGACGACGTCTCCGACGACTTCGACGACGACAACGACGCCGACGACGAAGACGACGACGACGCCAACGAAGGCGACGAAGAGGGACGAGGAAGGACGACGGCGGCGACAACGACGACAACGACGACAACGACGAGGGAGGAGGGAGGACGGCGACGACGCGAACGACGAAGAAGGAGAAAGGACGGCGACGCCGACGACGACAACGACGAGGGAGGAGAGAAGACAACGACGACGACGACGACGACGGCGACGAAATAGGAGGGACGACGACGAGACGCCGACGACGGACGACGACGATGACGAGGGAGGGGGAGGAAGGACGACCACGGCGACAGCGCCGACGGAAACGACCACGACGCCAAAGAGGACGATGACGACGAACACGAGGAAAGACCGAGGACGACGTAGGCGACGACGACGACGACGCCGGAGGAGGGAGGACGGCGACGACGACGACGACGACGACGCAAGAGCGCGCGCGCGCGCTTTTGTTGAACATCCGCGTTGTGGAACCGCTGGTTTTTTGTATGTTTTTGTGGACGCGCGATTTTGAATTCCTCCGAAACCGATGGGTGTCGAAGGATTTCGGCACGCGCGCGCGACGACGCGCTCGCCTGCACTTCGCCCCGTTTTTTTGCAGTGGGTTCTCGCGACGGCGCACGCGCAAGGGCGTTCGACAGATTTCGACATGCGCGCGCGCGATGCCCGTTTGGTAGCATTTTGTGTAAATATTGAAAAACCTTGTTGGTTTTCTTCAGATTTCGCAAGAGCTCGCGCGGGAGTTTTTTAGCAATTCAGCGTTGCGAAACCATGCGTTGTTGTATGTTTGTTGGGGACTCGATTGCGAAATCCTTCCGGCACCGAAGGTTTTTGAAGGATTTCGGCAGGCGCGCGCGACGACGCGCGCGTGCATTTCGTCCCATGTTTTGCAAGGGATTCGTGACAAAGTGTTATGTTGGAACAAAACATGTTACCGCGTAGTGTTTTTTCACCGGGGAACCTCAGGGGGGGGTGCCGGCCCCCCGGGGATAGTGTAAATGCATATTTAGGATGGACATGTGGTCATAATCATTTGTGATTTATTTGCCCGAGAGGTGAACCGATCACGCCGCGGGGCGGGGTGGGTGGGCGGGCGGCGGTGGCGCGGGGCGGGGGCGGGGGGTGGGTGGGGGGGGGGAGGGGGGGGGGGGGAGATCTTATTCTGTTTTTAGAAAGGAGAATTGACCAGCTGGCGGCTAAGTGCAAGCTCGAAGAAGGCTACTTCAGCGTCCGTGAGACGCCGTTGTTAACGAAAGCAGATCTAGAACAGGCGATCGCGGTTCTGAACGTGTTTGATTGCAAGATCCTGTCACAGGCGACGCTGCATGCCACTGAAGAATTTGATGGCTGCAATGTGTCCTTCCTGTTGGCCGTGCTGGAGGTCTGGGGTCACGCGACAGTTGTGCTTCAGACAGACCAGGGGCCTGCCGCGATGGCCCTGGCGAGCGCAGTTCGAGATCGCAGGTGTCGCTCCACCTTGGCGCGGGGATATCCGCCTTTTCCCAGGCAGAGTGCTGTCTGCGCCGAGGGCGCCAACAAGCTTGCAGCAGGTTTGCTGCAGACCTGCGCGCTGAAGCTGGAGCGCGCATTGGGGCGCGAGATCAAGACAACGGATCCGATCGTGCCTTGGCTCGTCATTTCGGCGGGCTGGGTGATCGCCCGGCTGCAGCCGCGAAGCCATGGGGGCTCCTCCCGCAAGATGCTGCGTGGCAAAGAGCACGGTGGGGAGGTCTCGGAGATGGGCGAGCAGTTCTGGCATCGGATCTCAGCCCAAGCTGTTGTTGGACGCGGCAAGTGGGAGGCCCGCTTTTCGAAAGGGATCTGGGTCGGAAAGAGCGAGTTGGACAACGTTAACCTCGCGATCGGCCCGGGGCGCGGCGTGCAGAAGGTCAGGGCCGCGCGGAGGATGCCAGAGGAGTTTAGGTGGCAGCTTGAGCTCATTCAGAACATTAGGGCGACGCCGTGGCAGCACGTCCCTGGCGCGAGTGCATGACCCATCGGGCGCAGTATGCGCATCACGGAGCGCGTGATCGACGGTCGCGGCCCGACCGACTGCAGGAAATGCAGCGCTGGATATGGGTCGCATTCGGCAGTTTGCCGCCAGCGGTTCGACTTCTTGCGCGAGAACTTGGAGAATGACCCTGCGGCCCGAGAGGCCGCGGCAGCGGCGCCGGCCCCGGCTGCTGGAGCCCCCGCGCCTGGAGCGACGGCTGGACCAGCGGCGGCGTCGAGCAGCAGCGAGGTAGCGGTAGCACCCGCACCGGCTGCAGAAGACGTGGCCATGCTTCCTGCCCCAGGAGAGGCAGAAGCACAGACAGCCATGCAGACGGAACCTGATCAGATCAGGAGTGACTTCCACAGAGGCGCTCCAGGGGGCCCAAGGGCAGAAGTCGAGATCAAGAAGCCGAGAGTAGCAACCATCGGCATGCTCTCTGTCTGTGAACTGGCAGTCTGCGAGGAAGGCTACGACGAGACGTTCGACCCGATGTGGGATCCACGCCCGAAGCGAAGTTCAAGATGCTCGGATAGGTGTGAGAAGCATTCGTCGAGGTGCCAGCTGATGGGGCGCCGCCGAGGTGAGTGTGCATGCAGGCGCTGCCTGATGAGCCACATCGGCACGATCAGGAGTCACTTATAAGAACCTGACGAGGAGCAGATCGATCAGATGGTTGAGGTCAGCGCAGAGTTGCACGAGCACGACCAGTGGAGCCCGAAGACGATGCGCTACGATTACTGCTCGGGAGAGCCCCTGGACGAGGATTTGTACCACAAGGGTCGCGACAACGAGCTCCAGGCCATGGAGGACTACGGGGTCTACGTGGAGGTGGCGACGTCGACGGCGACCGACGGAATGCATATCGGAGGCTTCCCATCGCCCATATGCAGAAAGGCAGAGCCAGGTGGGGGTTCGTGGCGACGGAGATCAACGAGCACGAGGTGCGCGAGGACAACCACCAAGGCACGCCGCCGCACATGATTGCAAGGGCGACGCTAAGCCGTGCCGCATCAGGTGCTACTTCGGCGGGGGAGCACAAGCGGGCAATCCAAGTCTGGGACGTCGGGGAGGGTTTTTTCAACGCCGACCTCGATGAGACGATCTACGTTCATCCTGGACGCGAGCTGTGCGCTCCTGAAGGTGCTGGTGGCTGCGGAAGGCTATGAACGGCGCCAGGGATGCATCGCAGATGTGGGGAGAGCTGGTGCGGACTATCACGGACGACGGCCACTGGGAATGCTTGGCGGCGACACCTAACGCGTTCCACTTACCAGCGAGTCCCAGCGTTCCTGCCGTCGACGAGGACAGTGTAGCGATTTGCCACGGAGATGACTTGCTGGCCGAAGGTTACGACGAGCAGCTGGACGAGCTGGACGAGTTGCTGAAACGGCAGTTCGAGGTCACAGCGAGTGCCAGGCTGGGTCATGGGTGACCTGGGCGGACGAACTACCTCAAGAGGATTACCGGTGCACCGACAAGCTGCCAGGCTCAGAGGATCCATGTTTCTTCTGGGCAGCGGATCCTAAGCACGTGGGTTTCATGGTTCAGCGGGCACATAAGCGACGGCGCAAGCCATCTCCTACTCCAGGGACGAAAGCGACAGGACAAGGACGACGAGGCCGCTTAGACCTTCTGTCCAAGGATCGAGCTCGGGAAGTTGCAGGCGCAGCAGACGCGGCGCTCTACCTCTCTTCGGACAGGCCCGACACGACGTGCGCCAGCAAGACCGCGACGCAGCGCGTTTCAAACCCCGCTGTTCTGATGCATGCGCGAGTTCAGCGCCTTGGACGGTACTGCGAAGGACAGCCTATCTTGGTATGGTGTTGCCCTTTGCAGGGTACTCCTGAAGGCATTCGTGTGGGCGGAGATGCAGACTGGGCCCCTACAAGCGAATTGCAGAGACGTTCCGCGAGCGGAGGAGCAGTGCGGCATGGTGACCACACATGGGACTGCTACTCAGCGACGCAGAGCATCATAGCTCTAAGCTCAGGGGAATCCGAGATGCATGCCACGGGCAGTGCGACTGCCAGATGACTCCAGTGCAAGACCTACCTGATCGAGACCCAGGGGCCCTGCAACCTGAAGACCTACAGCGACAGCACCGCGGGGCCGGGCATGTGCAGCAGAGCGGGCGCGGGCAAGGTCAGGCACCTGGAACAGAGGTACTTATGGTTTCAAGAGCGGCTGCGGCTCAAGGCGTTTGAGCGCCTGAAGGAGGACGCCAATGAGACGGCGGCAGACATGCTCACCAAGTACAGCGAGTGGTCGAAGATCGAGAAGCACTGCACCGCTCTGAACCTCATGTTCGGGAAACAGCTTAAGGGCTTGAGCGCGATGGCAGTTTTCACGGGAGTCGCGACTTCTGCGTCAGGCGAGAAGGTGGCGGTGTGCGAGGAGCCAGGCCGGGCAGCGCCTTGCCCCGCTCCTGCGCCCCACTACGTGCATCGCGAGGAGTTCTGGTTCATCCTGGAGAGGGGTGCCTTCGTGGTGATCGCTGCGTTTTTTCTTTGTTTCTATGCTGCGCGCGCGGTTGCTACGCGAGGAGCTACCTCAAGAAGGACCTCGTCCAGGAGGCGGTTGGCCCCGCCCCTGGAGACGCCGACGTCTACCTGGCTACGCGGACTGACGCGGAGGTCAAAACCATAAGTGTCCAGGGACTTGGCACAGAGCCTCGTCCAGCGCGATGCGACGGAGGAGCGAGGCACAAGCTTTTCAACGCGTTTCTCGTGGTCGACTTGAAGCAGATCTTGAGAGCCAAAGGCCTACGCGTGAGTGCTCTCAAAGACGATCTGATCATGAGGCTGATCAAGAAGGGCAACGTCCTGTCGGATCGCCAGGTCAAGGAGATCGAGCAGCTGAGAGTGACGGCTACGATACGCGGACCCCTGATCAGGATCAACCTACAGGACTTGAGTAGTCCGGAGTCCGCGCAGCAGTTGATTGAGACGTTCAAGAGCGAGTGCCGAGATCGCCCTGATGGCTCTCAGCTGATCCACCCAGAGAGCTAGACGGATGGTCGCAGGAAGCTCTACGACAGCCGAGGCTGAGCTAATGACAAGGCTGCGGTCAGCCCCGCGCCTGCCCACTTCGGTTAGACCCGCGCACGGGCTGAGGGCCCGCGGGGAGTCCCGCGGAAGGCCCGCGGAAGGGGCCACAAAGCTGGTATCTGCTCCGGCTTTTCGGCTGGAGGCCGAGCTGGTGTCTGCGCCCAAGGAGAGGTGTTGGGAAGTTTGTAGTTTTACTAAGATATGCGATTCTATCAAAAGATAATCAGACTGTTTGGGCGATGACACGAACTCCTGCAGCCCTTTGTTGCTCAAGGAAAAGAGCAGCCCTCCTTCCCCCTCTCTCCGCTACGGGGGTAGGGGAGCGCGTGCATCGGCGCTGGTGCCCCCCGGCGGCGCCTCAGGCGCCGCCCCTGGCGCGCTCGAGGGGTGTCCAGCGCCGATCCGAGAAATCCGCGCGGACCTCCGAGTTTTTATGTTTATGTCACTTCTTGTTTCCCTAAGGCAGATGGGGAGAGGTACGGGGCCCAAAGATGTACATCACCACGCCCACCACCTCCCTCGCCCCCTCCCTCTACCAGGAGAAGGGGGAGGAAAGGGAGGGTAGATGACGGCAGAGGAATCGACGTAGTGGTGGTGTAGATCCCTGGGGGCCCGCAAGAGGGAGGCACAGGGCAGAGGGCGGCGGGTGCGGCGCTGCGGGGGCTCTTCGAGCATGCCTCGCGAGTGCGAGGCCTGGCCCCCGCAGTGCAGGCGCGCGCGAGGAGTGCACCTGCACTGGCACGACGCACCTCACTTTTTGGTGCGCGCGGCCAGACCAGCCCAGGCAGGGAAAGAGGGGGGGACGCATGGAGCTTCAGGGGGGAGCGGAGGGAGGAGAAGGATGGATGGAGGGAGGAAGGGAGGAGGCAATGGCAGTCGGGGCGGCGAGGGAGGGAAGGGGAGAGGAGGGAGAAAGTGAAAAGGAGGGGGGGCGATTGGACGAGGGACGATGGAGGGACGCGGGTGGGGGGAATAGGCAAAAGGCATTTGTTTCCAAGAAAGTTGAAGAGCGGGGTCTGAGGGGTGACGGGAGATAAGGAGGCATGGCGTGAGGCTGGGGGTCATCAGAGGGGAACACGGAATCGGGGGGAGAGGAGGGAGGGCGGGATAGGGAAGGGAGGGACGGACGGATAGTTAGGGAGGATGGGGTACCACTTTCCCACCCCGCCTTTGCGCTCTCCCCCTCGCCCCCGCTCGTCCCTCTTCCCTTCTCTTCCTCCCCCCCGCCGACTCGATGTTCGATGCTGCGGGTCTGTTTGGTGACACTTGGGACCTTCGGTGCCCCTGGCCAGCGCCAGGAAAGGGGGAAGCTATCTCTTGGGCAAGCTCCAGGAGGGAAGTGAGGACCAGAGGGAACGGCAGCATGGCAGGACGACGGGGACCACACAGGCAGGAGGTGGCTGAGGAAATGCATAGCGCGGCGGCTTGGGGCGCAGCCCCCTTCCTCCTCAGCGCATGATTGCCGTGACCCTTATGATAGGGTATCGGTCTCCTCTTCCTACCTCCAGGGCTGCCCCCCCTCTTGCGTACAAGATGCAATTAGAGAACTATTGCCTCGCAGTGGATGCGGCATATGCGAGCGACTGGGGTTCATGCCACCCGTGGAGACTCCGTTCTCAATTCCTTTCCGTCCGTGCATTTGCAGGGAGGTGGAGAGGAGGGGGAGGACCATGACCAGTGTCAAGCGAAGACTCCTCAATGATGTTGCAATGAACCATCTCCCCGCAAGCTGCCTCTTCATGGGCTCATATATAGATGCCTCGGCTCTGCGGGAAGAGCCCCGTTGGAAGACAACCGTGTGAAGATCTCCAACCGTGCGAAAGCACCGTTCTTGGAACTTCAACGCCGCAGATCACCGTTACTGTTGCGACCTGGCGATTTTCAACCGTGTCAGGACAGCGTCTCTGGGTCGCGAAACACAGTGAATTAACGTGACTGTGGCGCCTTGTCAGTCCTAATTCGTGCCAGAACACCGTTTCTGGAACGTCAGCAGTAAGTGTCATTGAATTCCTTGTGAACGGGTAAGACGAATCTGCGTGACGCTACTGCGACAGCCGCATTTTGAAAAGTAGCCGCCATCCATCCGTGAAGCTCCTGTAAGCGTCGAAACGAATGTGCGTAGAGCTAAGAAGAAAACTGGATTTGGAAAACGGCCCGCCCTCCACCCGGGAATTTGCTGCAAAGTGTTAAGGCGAGTGTGAGTGGCGTTGAGGGGAGAGCCACCTTTCGGAAACGGCATGCCTCCCATCAGTGAAGCTCTCCAGACCCTTTTAAGTCGAGGGTGCGCGGCGCTGAGGCGAGAGCCACATTTTGAAAACGGCCCGCCCTCCATCCGTGAACATCCTGAAAACTTCAAGCTTCAGGATCATAAAAAGGGTGAGGAACTTTCAGGCGAACCGCCCGGCCCGCCCTACCAGCCCTTCTCTGGGTGCGTCAGGAGGAGTTATGTATTAGGAAGGGGAATTGAAGAGGAACTATTGATATGAGGATGGTGGCGCGTATGTTAATGATGGGGGTAATGACGATGATGGTGTTGCTGCTGCTGCTGATGATGATGATGATGATGATGCTGATGATGATGATGATGCTGATGATGATGATGATGATGCTGATGATGGCGATGATGGTGATGATGATGGTGCTGATGCTGCTGATGCTGCTGATGATGATGATGGTGATGGTGATGGTGATGGTGATGGTGATGGTGATGGTGGATGCGGGAAGAGGACAAGACTAGTACGACTCCCCCCTGCTTCACATCCGCCGTTCCGCCTCGGCCGCCTCCTCTGGCCCCAGGAACTCAGACGTCGCCATGTTTTCGGAGCGTTGAGCGCAGGAGGTCCAGACCACCCTTTCCCGGGCCGTTTGTTGTTGTTGTTGTTGTTGTTGTTGTTGTTGTTGTTGTTGTTGTTGTTGATGTTGTTGTTGTTGTTGTTGTTGTTGTTGTTGTTGTTGTTGTTGTTGTTGTTGTTGTTGTTGTTCACCCGAGCAGTTCTCTGACGACCGCGGGGCCAGGGGGCCTGGAGGCCGCACAATGCCTACAGCCTCCCGTCGTGATTTCTGTTCCACAGCGAGAGGATTCTCTGAGTGAGATCGGAGGAGGAGGAGGCGGTAGGAGGAGGAGGGGGAGGGAGGAGGAGGAGGAGGAGGAGGTAGGAGGAGGGATGAGGATGAGGAGGAGGAGGAGGAGAGGAGGAGGAGGAGGAGGAGAAGAGGAGGAGGAGAGGAGGAGGAGGAGGAAAGAGGAGGAGGAGGAGGAGGAGGAGGAGGAGGAGAGGAGGAGGAGGAGGAGGAGGAGGAGGACGTCGACGACCACGACGACCCAGAGCTCCCAGGACCTGATTTTTTCACTCCGGCGGTATGTTCCTGGATTCCGAGGTCGGCCTCTGGGGCCCGTTCTCGGGCCCCCGGGCCCCCGTGTCAGGGTAGGAGGTCTGTCCAACCCCGACACATTTTCTGGAAGATCGACGATTAATTGTGTCTGTTTGTTTTCCCCCCCTGACAGATTTTTTCTGGTCTGCGTGTCGAGAGCGAGCCTCTTCCGGTTAAGAGCTAGGCGGGCCGCGCAAAGCACTAATTGGGGAGACAGGGCGCGTGGAAACCCCCTTGACACACACACACGCGCAGTATAAGTATGTCGGGGCGCCGACCCGCGCGGCGCGCGTCCCGCTCAGAATCGGCCCCAGGGACCCTCCCAGGGGTTCCAGGCCTCCCAGGTGGGGTCCGAGCAGGACGGGGCCGGAGGATCTCAGGAGGGAAAAAACACGCAGACACAATTAATCCTCGATTCCCAGGGAAAATAGGGGAAAATAGGGGAAGTGGGGGAGAAGACGTAAGCCCAGAACGTGTGGGAAAATATGGGGATTCCTGTTATTGGTGTATACTTATGTGTGTGTGTGTGTGTGTGTGTGTGTGTGTGTGTGTGTGTGTGTGTGTGTGTGTGTGTGTGTGTCCCTGGGCCCCTTCAAAGAAGGGATCCGGGACGAAAGCACCATCCCGGTGGAAGGGGTCGGGGCCTCTGGGGCCGCGGGCGGAAGCACTCCTGTCGGCGGACGTCTGGGGCATGCGGCCCCGGACAGGCCCGCGCCGCGACAAAAGTCAGGGCGCCCACGGAAGGTGTTTGGCCACGCTCGGCCTCGGCCCTCGCCGGGCCCCGGGACCGGACGAAGGCGACTCCGGAGGAAAAACCGGTCCTGGCCGCCAGGCTGCTCCTCCTCCTCCTCCTCCTCCTCCTCCTCCTCCTCCTCCTCCTCCATCCCCAGCGTCTGGATTTTTTCAGCGCGGCGTCCCCGGAAATCTGGACCCTTTCCCCGCGGGGCCGGCTTTGCATCCCGAGCCGCTTGTTGACGCTCCTGGGGGCCGGCGGGGGCCCCCAGGGGCCGAACATTAGCGAAAGGCCGCCCGTCCTGGCTTTTTTACGACGCGATATCATAGCTGGGCCCTCGTGCGGCAGGCGTGCAGGGCACGGAGACCCAGGGAGCAGTCCAGCGTCGCAGTCCTAGAGTGAGGATGTTCCAGCCTGCTTTAGCCGCCCCCGCCGCCGACGACGACGACGACCACGGCCACGACAGCGACGACGACGACGCCGCCGCCGCCGACGACGACAACGCTAAGGCCGACAACGACGAGGACGACGAAAGCGCAAGCGACGGCGACGGCGAAGGCGGGAGCCAAGGACGACGACGAAAGCCCGAGGGCGCCGAGGCCCAGGCAGGCCTGCGGCGGGGGCCGCCGTTGGCGCGGCCGCTCGGCCGCGGCCGCGGGCGCCCTGTGGCTTTCGCGCTGACCACCAGGAAGAGTTCCGAGCACCAGGAAAAGACCCCACATCTCGAGGGTTTTCGCTGGTCGGGCCCTGGGAGCTTAGTGGGCCCTGGAAACGACAGGGCTGTTTTTTTACCGGCTCCGTTTTGCCGGTTTTTTGCCGGCTCCGACGCCGTTTTTGTTACCGGTTCCGTCGCCGT